CCATAGTTTGGCTCACACTGTCCTTACAATAACCCTGAGGAGACAGACATAATTGACTCCACTCGACAGAAGAAACAGACTCGAGGATGTCAAGTGACTTGTCTAAAGTCATGGAGTGACTATGTGGCAGCTCCAAGTCCCAAAGCCGAGCCTTCTTATCGTTTGGAGCCAGTCTTGCCACCGCTGCCCCATCTAGCTGAGGGGCTTTGGTGATGGATTCTCGGGGTTGCCTGTAACTGTGCCTGCCCAAGCCAAAACTTCAAAGGAAATCACCACGGGCACAGCCAGGGTTCCACCTTACCTTAAGGGAACATAAGTTCAGAGCTATGATGGTAAGTAGGGTAAGGGCTTGGGAGTGGGCACTTAGCTGGCTGTTTTACATGGATGGCCAGCGAACCTTTCCCTGAAAGTGACAATCAAGCAGAGGCCTGAAGAAGATGAGAAAGCAACCTCCCGATGCCAGAAAAGAGTGGACAGAGGCCATGAAGTGGGGCTGCACAGTGTGCCCCAGGAGCAGCAAGGAGGCCTGTGTGGAGGTAGAAGGGAGGTTGGGGAGGAGACATGGGCCAGACCAGCCAAGTTTGCTCTGCTGCTTACCTGAGACTGAACACGGGGCTGCTTTCCAGTGTGCCCACCGTGAGTAAGGCTGCTAGGATATGTTTTGTTTTGTTTTGTTTTGTTTAAGTAAAAAAAGTTTTTAAACATTTATTTATTTTTGGGAGACAGAGAGAGACGGAGCATGAGCAGGGGAGGGGCAGAGAGAGAGAGAGACACAGAATCTGAAGCAGGTTCCAGGCTCCAAGCGTCAGCACAGAGCCCTACATGGAGCTCGAACCCACGACCTGGAAGATCATGACCTGAGCCGAAGACAGATGCTTACCCAACTGAGCCACCCAGGAACCCCGCTATGATATTTTGTACACATTGCTCTCTGAGGCATTGACCTAGCAGGGAAGATACCTGCCAGCACACGGTCTCAAGCCCCAGCTTTTCTGGCTGTTGACCGAACACCACACGTTTCTGCTATCAGTTTCTGTTTCCTCTGCTGCGAAACAAGGGGTTGGGTCATGGGGGAGCTTGGAGACCTTTCAAGTCTGTTCCAGAAGGCATCATCCCTATGGTACTAAAGGCACTTTATAGCTCTAGCCCTATGGGTGGATGGCAATGTGGAAAGGGTCAGTCCACTGGCAGAGCCCCACAAATATGGTTTTGGCTTCCTCGCAGACCCCCCAGCACAGGGTATATGTGAGTGTGTGTGTCCGTGTGCATTTAACTTTCATTTATCTAATAAGGATGTTACCCTAATGTTATTTATATTACATTTCTTGAATTGCTATAGAGGCTGTGCATTTTTCCACGTAGTGAATAAGTATTCTGTATTTTTCCTTGGGTATAAATAGTTCATTTCTTTTGATTTCTTATTAAGTGGAATTTTGGGTAAGTAACCGATAATCTGCTTTTCAAACCACAACCTCTAAGAATGTGTGATGGGTAATTTTATATGTCAACTTTGCTAGGCCATGGTACCCAGTTTTTGGTTAAATACAAGCCCGGATGTTACAGTGAGGTTTTGTTTTTTTTTTTTAATTTTTTTTTTCAACGTTTATTTATCTTTGGGACAGAGAGAGACAGAGCATGAACGGGGGAGAGGCAGAGAGAGAGGGAGACACAGAATCGGAAACAGGATCCAGGCTCCGAGCCATCAGCCCAGAGCCCGACGCGGGGCTCGAACTCACGGACCGCGAGATAGTGACCTGGCTGAAGTCGGACGCTTAACCGACTGCGCCACCCAGGCGCCCCGGGTGAGGTATTTTTAAACATGTGATTAACATTTACATCAGCAGACTTTCAGCAAAGCAGGTTGCTCTTCATGGTGTGGGTGGGTCTCATCCTATCAGATGAAGGCCTTAAGCGAAAATGCTGAGTCCGCTGAGGAAGAGGGAATTCTGCCTCCAGACTGTCTTCAGACTCAAGATGCAACATCATCTGCCACTGAATTTCTGGACTGCTATCTGCCCCGTAAGTTTCAGACTTGGTAGCCCCCACAACCACATGAGCCAATTCTTTCAAAGGAATAAATCCTCCTCCCCACCTCTCCCTCCATACATACGTATATATTTCAGTACATCACACAATATATCTATGTAATACCATATATACAGATAGACAGATACATATTACATGCATCCTACTGGTTCTATTTCTCTGGACAACCCTGACTAATACAGGATTTGTATACTCATGGACACCTAAGGTCTGCACACCTGTGGGAGACCTGAGCTTCCTGGAACCAAAAGACAGCAGGGATTGTGTCTGGTGTGGGTGGACCAGCCCAATTTCATTTGCCTTCTGATCTTATCTAAGAGTCCTAGCTCAAGGTCATCTGATCAAGCCTTCTTCCTGTCACCAGTGACAGACTCCTGTTCCCACCAACCTGGCAGCTCCTTGGCACACAGGCCTGGGCTGCTATCACCCTCAGTGACAGGGCACAGCAAGAACATGCTTGTCACCCTGCGTCTCTGGTAAAATCTTGACCTAGATCATCTCTTTTATCTTCTACATACGTCCCAACATAAATTTCCTATGCCTTCCCATTTGAAGACACTGGATTGCTTTCTTTTAATTTAAATCTTTGATTTATTTTCTACCTATTCTCTTTATCAGAATTCTCAGGTTGTATTTTTCCCATTTATTAAAGTTCTTCAGCTACTTTCTGGATACCACTTTTGACCTTGGAGAGATCTGTCTCTATTTCCAATGCTACCCCCTTTATAAGCAAACTTTGTTTACTGATCATATACTATCCACCATGTACCTACATGCCTTTGAACACTTTAGGCTCTCAATAAACGTCTTTTGAGTGGAATTCCCATCACTAATTAAATATATCAGCTTTTACAAAAACAAAACCAAGGGTTCCCTGGGTGGCTCAGTAGGTTGAGTGTCCAACTCTTGATTTTGGCTCAGGTTATGATCCCAGGGTTGTGGGATCGAGCCCCACATCAGGCTCCTTGCTGAGGTAGAGCCCATTTAAGATTCTCTCTTCTCTCCCTCTGTCCCTCTCCCCTGCACTTCACACTCTCTTTCTCTCTCTAAAATTAAAAAAAAAAAAAAAAACCTATTTTAAAAATAAAAAAAACAAGACCAAAATAAGCATCCAAATAAAGGGTATGTTTGTCAAGGAGCCAGCTTGCAATGCATTTTGATAAGTGAAGTGACTAAGTGAACTTGTCTACTTACCCCACATCTCGCCCTCTCACCTGGAAGTGGAGCAGGACCAGGCCTAGAAGAGTGAATAGTAAAGGCCCACAAGGGGACTTGATGTCATAGTAATTATAAGTCACAATCACTTGTTTGAAGTGAGGCAGCTTATAGTATGGGAAGGAGCTCAGATTTGTCACCAGTCAGACTTCAGTGTGAATCTCAGGGTAGCCACAAACTAGCTGTAAACTTGGGCAAGTTACTTGATCTTTCTGTGCCTCAATTTTCCATAAAATGGGGAAATAATACTAACTTTACAAGATTGCTATAAAGATTAAGCCAGAAAATGTTTGAACCACATAAAACGGCTGACATTCAACTGGTTTTGACCTAGAAAAACATTTTCATATAGTTCAACCTAAACCTTACATCTGTCAATGTAATGTCCTGTTCTCACTTTATGATGGTGAGAGGAGGGCACTGGACATGGAGAAAAGAGGGATGTGGAATTCTGAAGGGATTTTTCACGACCCTGCCACAGGCATTGTACATCGGGGGGCTTTTCTCTTCTGATCCTTAAAATGAAGGGATTTCTAAGGTCCTTGAAATTCTGACATTCTGTAAAAATTATTTGATTAAATGTCTGTCACCTCCACTAAACTCAGCATCTCAAGGGACCACCATTGCCTCCACCAAGCCCTGGGCACAGTACCCAAAGCATAATGTACTGAGTACATATTTGTGGGGCGAATAAAGTACAGGAATAGCAAAAATCAGAACTCATTTATTCATGCTTAACACTTCTTGAGTATCTATCATGTATCCGATATTGTACTTGAACTTAGGGAGACAAAGATAAAGGTGCTAGTGGAGTCCTTGTTATGAACTGGACTGTGACCCCCCCCCCCCCCCCATCCATATGTTAAAACCCTAACTCCCAGTGTGAATATATTTGGAGATAGGGCCTATAGGGAAGTAATTACAGTTCAATGAGATCATAGTAATGGGACTGTGATCCAATAGGACTCACGTCCTTACAAGAAGAGGAAGACACCAGAGATGCCCCCTCTGCCCCTGCTGGCAAACACAGAAGAAAGACCATGTAAGGACAGAGCAAGAAGGTGGTTGTCTATAAGCCAGGAAGAGAGCTTTCACTAGAAACCGAATTTGCTGGCACCTTGACTATGGATATCTAGCCTCCAGACCTGTGAGAAAATAACTGTCTATTGTTTAAGCCACCCAGTCTGTGGTAATTCATTATGGTAGCCTGAGCAGACTAACACAGCCCTCAAGGAGCTCATCATCTAGAAGCCGAGGCAGATGAGGAGGAAGTGCTAATGCTGAGAGATTAGTCCTCTGAGATGGTACAGACTGGGCTGTGGAAACTCCCAAGTAAGTCGCCCAGTTGAGACTGAGAGGCAGGGGTGGAGGAGGGCCAGGAAGGCTCCTCCAAGAAAGTGACGTCTCTGGTAAGCATAGGAGCAAGAAAAGAAATGAGCAGGAGAGAGAGGAAAGGGAAGGAGGGCGTCATGAGATGGGAGCAGCCTGAGCACAGGCCTCAGAAAACAAGACTGAGCGAAAGGTAATAACAGGACAGAACCAGGAGCACAAAGAGAGTCAAAAGTTCGAGCAAACCATCTGGAGAATTGGGGGACAAGATGAAGAGTGGACACCACTTACTCAGGAGAAAATCAAATTCCAAGACACTCTGGGCAATCAGAGACCCAGTTCGTAATTAAGTGGCTTGTGCTTTGTCAGGACAGGGGTTTGAGAGCAAATGGCTCTTGCCTCATCACCACCTTTCCCCTGGCTTCCTTGCTTCATCACATGAACCCGCTGGGTCTCTTCTGGCCTGAAAGCTCTCGCCTGTCAACCTCACCAGTTGCAGCCTTTCTGGGCACAGCTGAGTTGCTTGTACGAGTTACCTCTACCCGCCCCATCTTCTCCCCGCTCTTCAACCCACCGCCCTGCTCTTCTCTTCTCTGACGTCGTCAGTGGCTCTTGGCTGCTGTGTTTTTGTGTGATCTGACCCTATTGTTCACTCCCCCCTTCTGGAAACTTAACACTTTGCCGGAATGCCTCTCTGGTGTGTAAGCCTCTTGAGGGCAAAACCTGTGTCCGATTTAGTCACCGATGAAGCACTCATTGCCCAGTGTGGTGTTGGGCCCATAACAAGCATCTGACAACTCTTGAGTAAATGGCTGTCTTGGCCTCTTTGACACCCCTCTACTCCAATCATGTGCCCACTTCTTTGGTCCCTCATTTCCAGTGTCCTTCACCAAGGCTCCTTCCTCTGTCCTCTCCTTAAATGTTGCTCTTCCCTAAGGTTCTGTCCTTGATCCTATTCTCATTTCATGCAACATGGGGTCTTTGGGTTTCCTCCTACCACCTCCTGTGAGGACTCCTGTTAAATCTACATCCCCAAGCTTGATTTCCCTCCTGAGCTGTGGACCTATAGCCTCCAACTGGACAGCTATCTCTTAGCATCTTGTGAAGGCACATTCACGTCCACATGCTCGTACAGAATACCTCTTTCCCCCAAATCCGCCCCTCCTCCTGTTTCCTTTCCCTGGCACCACCCTCTACCCAGTCACACAATCCAAATACCTACTAGTCTTCCACCCAAGCTAATTCTGACAATTCTAGCCCCTTAAAGCTCTCAAATCCATCTCCCCTAGTCTTGTTCTTTCCACAAATGTCCTACTCCCGGCTTTCAGCATCCCTCACCTGGGCTAAGGCATAGACTCTGGATTACTTTCTCTGTCTCCCCTCTAGCACTCTTTCTGGCCTCCCACCATACTGCTACCAGTGTGATCTCTCCAAAAATGGAAGTCCGCTGAAGCAACTCGGACCCTCTTTACCTTCAGAATCAACTTGAATTCTTTAGCATAGCAAAGCAAGTATAGTAACAGTACTTCCGGCTTCTGGTAGATCAGTTTGCCCTCCCAGAGCAAGAGCTGGCATTTGTCCCAGGGCCTGCGGTGTAGACAGGTTATGCCTCCATTCCTCCAGGGAGGAGAGAGAAACAATAACTATTGATTCATCCTGGAAACATTGCTCAATGCCCTGACATTCTGATGTTTACCAAGCATGGATCTGTGAAAGGAACTCCACCTGGATGTGCCTCCCATGGAGATCTCGGAGGGGAAAAACACTTGAATAATTTGCCAGGGTGGAGACTACAGTGAGGCAAGTGAGAAAAAAACCTAAGGAGGCACTCTCAGGATCATGCAAGCGCCTCCTTCAATTTTGCACCATAGACACCGCACTTGCCTCACCCTGTTCTGTGAGTGTGTTCATCTTGCTTCCCGTTCCATTAGGATAAATTACGAAAAGAAGCCTGGATACAAACTACTAGCATCTTATGAGTTTAGATTCTGGATGAAATTAAGTGATCCCTTTAAAAATTTAAGTTACATATGGGTACCTGGGTGGCTCAGTCAGTTAAGTGTCTGACTTCGGCTCAGGTCATGATCTCACAGTTCGTGAGTTCGAGTCCCACGTCGGGCTCTGTGCTGACAGCTCAGAGCCTGGATCCTGCTTTGGATTTTGCATCTCCCTCTCTCTCTGCCCCTTCCCTGCTTGCACTGTCTCTCTCTCTCTCTCTCTCAAAAATAAACATTAAAAAAATTTTTAATAAATAAAATAATAAAAATTTAGGCACATTAAAACTTAATCTGGTTGGTGGATATATAAATTGGATCCACCAATCTGGAAAACAGTTCGGCCAAATATATTTGGAGATTTAAGGTTCTTGTGCCACTTCTAGGAGTCTATTCTAATTAAAAAATCACATATGTAGGGGCACCTGGCTGGCTCAGTCAGTAGAGCATGTGACTAGCCCAGGGTCTTGAGTTCAACCCTTATGTTGAGGATAGAGCTCACTTAAAAATAAACATGTATGTAAACAACTATTCTCATATACAAAGATATTCATGTATAATATTTATAATACTTAAATGGTGGTACATTTTGCATTATAATGCAGTCACTCAAGTGATAATTATGTAGACATTAAATAAGTAAACATGCAGACAAAACCATATAAATATAATGAGTTTACAAAACTGGACATATAGAATAATCCCAAACTAGTCAATACCCAGGACATGCTTAGAAAAAAAATAATAAAAGATTGAAAGAAAATGCACAAAAATGTTAACATTAACACCCATAAACTTCTGAGCTTAGGGATTACGGGTGGTTTTTGTGTGTTTCTAAAACATTTTTCCCATTTTTTAAAATGTTAAATAATGGTCATGTATAACTTTCATAATAAAAAAAGAAAGTTCTTTTAAGCAAAATTTTTTTTTTAAAGAAAATCTGTTTCACTCTCTGGGACTTCTCTTCACCATTGGTATTTACCAACTGGTCGCCACTCCAACTCTGGTTTAGGAGAGAGGCTGAGAAGTTTTTGACGACAACCAATAGGGTTTGTTGCTGTTGTTGCTTTTAATCCTCATGAGCACATTTGGTTCAGATAATCTCTATGGCTGTAGCGCTCCACAAATTCCACTGTCTGCCCAAGCAACTCCTGACTCTGACAGAACCAGGGCATATGGCTTGTACACAGCAGTCCCCCTCAGCGTCCAGGATTTACCGCGATCTCCGGATATTTCAGCGCCTAGCTTTGCGATGTTGCTAAAATATCCTGAAACAAGTGCTGTGAGCCATAGCTGGCTGTTCGGAAGCCTGTGGGGGGTAGGGAGGCTCTCAAGACCCAGGAGGGGGACATGGAGGAGCTAGATACCCAGCTCTCTCATTAGCCCTGAACGCTAGAAAGCTGGATTTCCTTTCACATAAATTGATATTTCTGACCTCTATTTGTATTTACATCCAGAGATAAGGAGCCCTGAAGCTTAATTTGGACCCAATGCCGATAAAGAAACTGAGAGTCAAGATGCCCTTGCTGCCTCTATTTCCTCATCAGTAAAGAGAGCTGGATTAGGTTTTCTCCAAATGGGCTATTTTATTGATAAATGTCGGGCAAGCAGGTGTGCCAGTGTGCACTTAATCACCAGCACCCTCATCAGAGCTGCCTGAGAGGCCGAGTGTCAGAGGGTGTCTGTTTCTGCCTCAGATGCCGCTCGGACACCACTTCAGCCAGGGTGGCACATACCGTTGGCATCGAGCAAGGGTCCGGTCTGCAGGCAGGTCCATCCTTGCACCCTTTCCGCTTACTGGTAGGGGATGATCCAATGATCCATCTAGCCAGACAGCTTGAAGAAAGCTGCCTTGTTTTCTTTTAAAAGATGTTAAAAAGGACCCACAAATCTAACAGAAATAATTAGAACTAACAGAATCATTTTCACTAATTAGAGGTCCCATGGAATTTGCAGACTTGTTTCCACCTAGGTTGCAGACATCAAATAAATGCCTTTAATTTTTTAAGAAACATACATATATTCTTTTTTCCCAGAGTCTATCTTTCACCCAGGACAATTCATAAGAGATTTAAGAATATGCAACGGTAGCACTATATCTAATCTAGCATCATTAAAAAACAACAACATAATTCTAACTTCCTAAAAGATAGAAAGCAGGAGAACAAAGGGAAAAGTGGGGAAAGGCATCCACATAAAACACAGTATTATGGAAATGATTCTGGAACAATACCATTAGCTCTATCCCTAAAAGTCCACTCACCTGCCCTTCTTAGACATCTCGTGTATTTCTCTTCTTCGCCAATGCACTCTGCTTTCAGTGGCCAAAACCCATCCCCACCACAACAGGAAGATGCCAACTTTCATATTCTGGACAGCCACCATGGGTTTCCAAATCCAAATGGTTCTCTCAAGAAACAGCAAAAAGGAAAAGGATGTTCTTTTTGTCTCTTAAGACATTATTGGTCTGTTCATTATTACAAGGATGTTTACTCATAAAAAAAAAAAAAAATCAACCCACAGTATGCAATCTGGAGAGCAGGAGAAAGCAATTTCCACTAAACCTATAAATCCTCCTACGTCAGATGTCAGGGATTTTCTGAACTGAGGTTGAAGCCCTGTGTTCCTGTCGAACAATTATTTCGACCAGTCTAAATTAGTTCATCATCAGATGCGGTGAGTATGTTAGTAAAGGTCTGTATTTTCTGGTCCAGTGAATAGAAGGAAAACGGACCAAAGCAATTTCCAAAATGAGAAATGCCAGAGGTGCTGAACCACTTCCTATGCCAAGTTAATGAGCTCCTCCCTGGATCTATTTTAAGCTTCCAGCCATTATTATTTGCTTTAGCTGAAGGCTGGATTTGTACAGAGCCCCGCCCCCACTCCTTCCTATACTGAATCCACAGAACCTCTGGGCTTCCTACCTGGGCAGGTTTTCTATATGGCTGAGGTTGGGAGGGCTAGTGGGGAAGAGGCTTTTTTGTCTTCATTTGCACAGAAAGAACTAAATTTTCTTGTCAGCTGTATTATTTGTATTATGAACTTCTCTAGACTTTTCACATTTAAAAAAATACCAGAAATAAATTAACAGTAGCCATTAAGTCTGTGTTATCTATTGTTAAAAACAACGGGCCCAAAATGGAGTCACTTAGGCTAAGCTCCATGTCACCAAATCAAGACTTACTTTCAGCTCTCCCAGAAATGGAATCTTTTTTTTTTTTTAAGTTTTGTTTATTTTGAGAAAGAGGGAGAGAGAGACAGTAAGCACATGAGCAGGGGAGGGGCAGAGAGAGGGAGAGAGAGAATCCCAAGCAGGCTCTGCACTGCTCATGCAGAGCCCAATGTAGGGTTCGAACTCAGGAACTGTGAGATCATTACCTGAGCTGAAGTCAAGAGTCTGACACTTAACCAACTGTGCCACCCAGGAGTCCCCAGAAATGGAATCTTAAATCAGTCAATCAGGAATCGCCTAATTAGCACTAGTTAGGTAATCTACCTGACAGACCCTTGTCATCCCCTAAAAAAAAAGCAATCTTGCAATAACCAGTCCACTTAAAAAAAATTTTTTTTTTAATTTTTTTTTTCAACGTTTATTTATTTTTGGGACAGAGAGAGACAGAGCATGAACGGGGAGGGCAGAGAGAGGGAGACACAGAATCGAACAGGCTCCAGGCTCTGAGCCATCAGCCCAGAGCCTGATGCGGGCTCAACTGATTCCATGCAGATCGCGTGACCTGGCTGGAAGTCAGATGCGAATCAACAGCCGCCACCCAGGTGCCCCCCCCCAAAAAAATTTTTTTTTAATGTCTATTTATTTTTTGAGAGAGACAGAGTGTGAGCAGGAGAGGAACAGAGAGAGAGGGAGACACAGAATCACAAGCAGGCTCCAGGCTCCGAACTGTCAGTACAGAGCCCGACATGGGGCTCAAACTCATGGACCACGAGAGCATGACCTGAGCTGAAGTCACCACTTAACCAACTGAGCCACCCAGGCGCCCCTAACCAGTCCACTTTTTTGTCAAGTATAACTTCTTTGTCGCCCACCTACACTGCACTTCTGCTTCTACAAATCTCTCATTTTATAGAACTCCTCAGAGCTCTTTCCTAGCTACTAGATTAGATGTTGCCTGATTCAGGAATCAGATCATGAATGAATAAGATCTTCAAAATGTACTCAGTTGAATTTCTTTTATTGTTTATTTATTTTGAGAGAGAGAGAGAGAGAGAGAGAGCAGGGAAGGGGTAGAGAGAGGGAGAGAATCCCAAGCAGGCTCTGCACTTTTGGTTCAGAGCCCATGCTAGGCTCAAACTCTCAAACTGTGAGATTCATGACCTGAGCCAAAATCAAGAGTCAGACACTCAACCGACTGAACCATGCCTCTTCAGCTGAATTTTGTAAACATCATAGTTTTCTTTTTTTCTTTTTTTTTTTTTTTTTGTTCAAAAGACTGCTATAATCAACTGGCCAGAGTTTGTGTCTTCACCAAAGAAAAGCAGTCTCAGAATCTCATGGAAGAAGACAGCACAAGGTCCTTCAAACTACTGACTCTTCAAATCTTGGCTGACATGGCTTGGATAATTTTCAGAGAATTTTAGCAGAAGTTAGTTGGGATTTCCAGGCCTCTTTATAGTTGAAAAGCAGACAGTTTCATGAAACTGCTAACCCGACATCCATCAGAATGAGAATTAATTATATAAGATTGAACCAATTACTGCAGGAAATTGTATTGAGGTTATTTGGAATATTGTTGATTTGCTTTAATGCTCTATTTACTGGATGTGTAAAGAAGCCTTTTCTTTTTCTTTTTATGCTCTATGCTATTCACAATAATTTTTTAAATTCTGCTGTTGTAAACTAAAATGAGACATTTAAAAATGATATATGATTCTCACCAACAGTCAATTACCCTCCTTGGAATTCAGAAACTTACCTAGTCTCTTTACTTTTCAATACAGTTATTTACATATGTTCCATAAGAATCTGTCCTCCTTTTTGCCAGAATATAACTAAAAGACTCCATTGTGCAATCAAGGCCTTGCCTGAAATATTGTCATCATCATACTCAGTTGACTAGATGTGACTGACAAGCCATTTTAAAGAACAAAGTTTGGGGGCACCTGCCTGGCTCAGTGGGTAGTGCGTGACTCTTGATCTCGGGCTTGTGAGTTAAAGCCTCATGTTGGGTGTAGAGACTACTTAAAAATAAAATCTTTTAAAAATAAATTAATTTAAAAAATAAAGAACAAAATTAGGCTGTAATTATGGAGTCAACGTCTGCAAAGTCCTCTGAGGAAAACTGGCCTGGACTACCCTTTTTAGGTAGTAAGAAAGGTCATTTCAAAGGTAAGCCATTGGGGTAGTTTTCAAAACCTCAGGAAGAGAGGAACTTGCCCAAAGGTACTGCAGCTAAAGGCTGGTGGAGGATCTTGGGACAACAAATAAGACATGCTTTTCTTTTTTTTTTTTTTTTTTTTTTTTTTTTAAATTTTTTTTTCAACGTTTATTTATTTTTGGGACAGAGAGAGACAGAGCATGAATGGGGGAGGGGCAGAGAGAGAAGGAGACACAGAATCGGAAACAGGCTCCAGGCTCTGAGCCATCAGCCCATAGCCTGACGCGGAGCTCGAACCCACGGACCGTGAGATCGTGACCTGGCTGAAGTCGGACGCTTAACCGACTGCACCACCCAGGCGCCCCAAGACATGCTTTTCAAAGTCCAGTCTAAGATTCCTTATGATAACTTGTAGGTAGGAGTTAACTTGGTACCATTTGGTGCTGTATTACCCTAGATTTTGCAAAGCAAGCTGAAAGAGGCCTCTCTGATCAATCAACAATCTTGATGCCCCTATTTTAAGTAATCAGCCAAACCTAAAGTGACCAGCTTTTTTTGGTGACCAAGAATAATCTTTGAAATTATGTATGATCACAGGGGGAAGGAAGTCTGTCAGGAAAAGCTGTCAGATATTGAAATGGTCGAAAGAGATTATTGCATGTCCTTACAGTAGAATGCAAAGCTTTGTCCAATGGACCCTCCTCATTCTATAACGATGTGGCCTTTGATTGTCTTTGACCAGGTTATTTTACAGCGCCATAACAGTAGACATTAACATGTAGAAAACTGACAGTAATATATTTTTTCTGCCCATAACTATGCAAACTATTCCTTTTTTCCAGTAGAGAATACAAATCTCTATAAATCAAATCCTCAAATGTACTAGTTGTAATATCTTATTGGTCCTCTAACCAATTAATGAGTTAAATAAAAACTTTGACATGTGTCATAGTTATATGAAAGTTGTGATTAGATCTTCTTATATAAATTATCCCTTAACAGCACTCAATAAATAGATGTTGAAAATAATTCAACATATAGAAATAAAGGCAGAATATGTGATGTCTCCAGAAGTCAATGCAAGCCAAGCATGATTAGATCATTGGTGGGGAGTTGCTGACCTGAAGAGCCAAAGTGGCAAAGAAAAAAGATTCTGGGGCTGAGTACATAAAAATCTCCAGGTTGAGAAGTCATTGAAGGGACCATCAAATGGCTCTTTGATGCTCATTTTGGAAAATGCATTTCTTTCTTGTTTGGAGGACCCTGGGCATAACCAAAGAGAGCTAATCCAGATGGCCTCAAATATGCATTTCCAATCTTCTCTCAGTAGCTTAGCAGAGAGCCAGCTCAGCAGGTCTGAGTTAGCTCAATGGAAGGACGGGCTGATGCTAGATGCCCAGCCTTCCCAATTAGGCCACTTCCCCCACCAGAAAGCTCCAATGGCAGAGCCCTAAGGGGAGGAACCCTGTCTTAGAGCCCTTTCTGTATTTGGACCTAGCCAACCATACCCAGCCCAAGCACCCTTCTTGGGGGGATCATGAGGGCTCAAAAAGTCATGTGCACTTTGCTACTTCCCTACTTATAGGTGTTTATTTATTTATTTATTTATTTATTTATTTATTTATTATTTTTAAGTAGGTTTCACACCCAGTGTGGAGCCCATGGTGGGGCTTGAACTCATAACCATGAGATCAAGACCTAAGTTGAGATTAAGAATGGGACGCTTATCCGAATGAGCCACCTAGGTGCCACCCTACTTATAAGTGTTCTTAATAAATGTTTTTTCTCCCATCAACACCATGTGACTCTATTGCAGAGAATATCCATGACATTTTTTCAAGACAAGGACATAAGAGGGGTTTATAAAGAGTATATGTGGTCTAAGAGCACCAGTTGGGGCTAACATCCAGATTCAGGAAGGTAGAGGGGTTAGAAATCATAATCCAAGGCTTATCGAGGACCCACACTGACCGACTCAAGTATAGTATTTCCAGACCAATTTTAAAAACCACTGTTTTTGACCAAATCCTCCTTTTCCTTTATTTAGCATGA